AATTGAAAGTGTAAAGATTAAATATATTTAATTTAAACAAATTAAATTAGGAAAACTCACAGGAAACCAAAAAATAAAAAATAAAAAGAAAAGACAGAGCAACATGAGAATGAGAACGGCTAATATTCTAAAATCTCCACATAGACAAAGGTGAACCAAGGGGTGGGACCCCTTGTTCTATAAAAGCCAAGCGGTGATAGAACCCATTCATAGAAGTGCTGTGTGTGGTTGAGTTGTCAATTGTAGTGGGAAAATTGCAACTATTGGCTAAGCTTTAATTTATTTATTTTGATATTTTTGACTCTTTTGCTTTTCTTTTTAAATTTTCACTTTTTTTAATTAGTCAAGTTCGTATCACGGGAACTGGTTTGGTTCTGACTAGTTATAGGGTTTGTCCCAACTAAGGTCAAGAGCCTATTCTCATTTTAATTGCTTGAATTGACAAATCGAATTTTTAAAACATTGAAAAAAAATCTACAATGATTTTACAAACGTTAAAAAAAATTATAAAAATTGACTTGTTTAAAATTAAAGAATAATAGGAGGTGAGTCAAGTCTAAAATTGAATTAAAAGTTTAAGAATAAAAAGTTAAGTTTTTCTTGAAAAAATTATATTGATAATGTAGTCACTGTGTCACACATTCTTTTCAGAGTTTTTTTTTAGATTAAAAACATTATAAAAATTAGTCTAGCTAAATCTCATTGTTGATATAAAATTTTTGTTAGTAAGTAATTTATAAGTGTTTTTATAAATATTTTTTAAATCTGAAAATATGCCTTAGGTAAGTTTTAGGAAAACCCAACTCACATATTCTATTATATAAAAACAAGTATGCATTGTCAAAAGCAACGCTCAGGGCTCCTGAATTTTTTGGCCATTGGCTAAACTTTAATTTATTTATCTTGATATTTTGACTCTGTTGCTTTTCTTTTTAAATTTTCACTTTTTTAAATTAGTCAAGTTCATATCATGGGAACTGCTTTGGTTCTGACTAGTTATAGGGTTTGTCCCAATTAAGATCAAGAGTCAGTTCCCGCGCTTTTTCTTTTCTTCTTCTTCTTCTTTTTTTTGTTTCTTTTTGGCTTATCCTATCCTAAACCCTCCTCAAAAGGGAAAAAGAAAGGATGACTCACACACACTTCCCCCTTACCACTTGGGGCAAGTGGGTTCTCGTTTTAATTGCTTGAATTGACAAATTAAAATTTTAAAACATTGAAAATAAAAATTCTACAATGATTTTAAAGCATTTAAAAAATTATAAAAAATTGACTTGTTTATAATTAAAGAATTATAGAAATTAAGTCATGTCTAAGATTGAATTAAAAGTTATCTTTTTTTAAAAAAAAAATATATCTATAGTGCCATAGTGTCACACACATTCTTTTCATAGAAATATTATAAAAATAAAAATTAATTTAATTAAATCTTGCTATCAATATAAAATTTTTTTTAAGTAGGTGATTTATAAGTATTTATGTAAATATTTTTTTTTAACCTAAAACCATATTTTAAATAGGTTTCAAGAAAACCCAACTCACCAATTCTACTTTTTTTTTTTTAAAGGTTTGCATTGTAAAAGTCATACCTACCTCAAGTAGGTTGGTCCCACTTATAAATATTGAAAATCCAATCCAAACTCAGCCATTTACGGTCTGTTTGGATTTCAGTTGGGTATAATAGATTATGAAAATAATTGATTAAGTGGTAGATTTTAATCATAATTGATTATGTTATAACGTAATCTGTTTGGATACTGTTTTTTTAAAATTGATTTTAACAGAATTGAAGATATTTGGATAATTTAATCAAAATTAATTTTTAACTATATAATTTAATTTTTAAATATCAAATATTAATTTTTTAAATATATAAAATTTAAATTTTATTAAGGAAAAAAAAAAGAAAAAGAAGAGAGTTTAATTTTATTTTTATTAAATTATGTGCTTTCTTTGTAATTTTTTCTTGGGCCTGTTTTTGTAATTTTCCCCAACGTTTTTGACAAACTTTTGGCACAAAATGAACGAAGGGAGCTTCGGGAAAAACGCGCGTTTTGGCCCAGAATCGATTTTTGCTCATTTTCGACTGTTTGGATAGATTGACAGAAAAAATTAATTTTGAGTTCAAAACGCGCGTTTTTTCCTTATCCAAACGGGCACTACTTACAAGACAAATCATAGAGTTACGTTTTTCACGAGTAAAATTCGTCACAGATAAGACCTGAAAATTTATAAAGCAAACTTGTACCCTAAATGTTTAGCGAAGGGCCACTCGGACTGTAGATAAGCTCAGATCAAAACTGACAAAGATTGGGATGGGTGTTCAAGCGTGCGTGGCTATCCACTCAATAGAACAGGATAGGTGGGCCCACCAAAAAGCAATCCTTTTAAATCACCTTGCATGTGCCGGGCATTGCAAGGGATATTTTAATATTTTAAAAATAAAAATTAAATCAAAAAATAATAATAATTTTAAATATGTGAAACTGTTTAAAATATCCCAACAACAGGGGGGAGTAATTATTACAGAGTGTATATATATCAAGGAAGAATTACATATATTCGTAAATTTTAACTAAAAAAATTAATTACAGACAAGTCTTTACTATTTGTCATTACTTGACTTGTAAATAAAACTGAAAAATAATTTTCTCAGTTGCCACCTATTTGTAATTCTATATATATATATATATATATATAAATTATGAATGGAATTCGATGCCCTATGAGCCCTCTTGGTTTTTATCAAGATGGGGAAAATGACATTTGAAAGTCCTATAAAAACAACACTCAGGGCTCCTGATTTTTTCTTAATTTTCAAAAGGAAACCAAGTTCTTTAGTATTTTTAATAACCCAGTTCTTTAGTTAAAATTAATTTTTTCTTCTTTGTTGTTTTAATTCAATCCCTTTTTCTAGGCTTAAATGACAAATTAATTTTAAACTATAAGTGCATAATTATCTGAAATTTTAAACTCATTTTTAGTACAATATTTATTTTTAAAATTTCAAATATTGTAATGTTTTCCTGCTATTAATAAACATTAGTTTTGACCATTAGTTGATAAAAAATTATAAAAAATAATCAAGAAAAATTTATTGACCCTTTTTAATAATTATTGGGTCTTTATTTATAATGTTTTTGTGTCATTTTTGTAGTTTTTGAAGGCATTTTGTATAATTTTTTATCAACTAATGATTAAAATTAATATTTGTTAATAATAGATGCAATATTATATTGTTTTAAAAAGCCGAAAGAGAATATTATATCAAAAATAAGTTTAAAATTTCAAAAAAACATAGATATATGGCTTAAGGGTAGAATTGTCTTTAATCCTTTTGTTAGTCATATACAGCTTTTTCCATGCTTATCTTTTCATTTTTTGAGTGCTTTGATTTTTTATTATTACAAAAAAAATCAAAGTTGATTATTAGAGAAAATGGTACTTAAAAAGTGTATTGCTATGTCTAGATGGATAGAGATTTGGATTTGTGCCAAATTTATTATTTGAGTAATTAAAAATGTATGAATTGGATTTGATTCAAATCCAAATTCAAATTTTATCTCAATCTCTTTGTAATTTAAAATCTTTTGTAAACTCCTATTAGTTCAAACCCTACCTCAACTTTTTTGTAATTTGACTAACCTATTGATAGTGTTAAATAGGACTAGATTACCAGCGATGATCAGGATTGGATCGCAATCATTGCCAACCAAGACTAGGTCGTTGCCATCGACCCAGACAGGACGATCGACACCAACAAGGATTGGATGGCTAATTTCTATCAAGACTGAACCACCTACATCAACAGGACCAAACGGCTAACTTCTACCAAGGCCAAATTTCCAACAAAGATTGGGATCAAAGTGTAGGCGATGACAAAATCAAATGACTGACTTCCATTAAGATCAAACCACTAGTGCCAACTTGGATCGAAGAACAAGTGATGACTAGGACCATATGACTAACTTTTACCTAACTGTTGGAGTTGATCAAGACCGAAGTGCAAGTGACAACTAAGATCGCATAGCCTGCTTCCATCAAACCTGACAATCAGCACTGACCTAGACAAGATCATCGATGAAGACGAAGACAATACTATTAGCATTGACCAAGACTAAATAGCTGCCTACGACTGGGATTTTATGATAAGATCCCACTATGATCGAGATTGATGACTTTGACTAGTATTAGACTAGCAACCTTGATCAATACTAGACCAACAGTGTTGACTAAGATAGGACAGTCGACTTCTATTGAGACAAAGATCACTAGCATTGACTAGGATAAAGGTGTAAGCAATGATCGAGACTACATGATCAACTTCCACCAAGATCAGAGTGCAAGGGCTTATTGTCCAGTCTTGATGGAAGTTGGTCATCTAATCCCATTCATCATTAGTGGTACGATCTTGGTGGAAGTCTATCGTTTGATTCCAATAGGCACTAGTGGTTTGGTTTCGGTGGAAGTCGACCATCTAGACTGCCAATTTTGACTAGGATCAAAATGCTAATAATGTCCAAGTTGCTTTTAAATTTAAACATAAAATATAAAATATAAAATTTTACTTAAAGTCCAAGCAAAAGATTTTACTATTATAATTTAAAATTTTTTATACTATTTAAATAAAGAGTTTAGAATCTATAAATTTTAAATATGAAATTTTAAATTTAAATTTTCAAACTAAATTCACTCATCCAAATACAACTTAAGGGAAGATGGAGCAAAAATTTGCCACTTTCCTAAATTAAAAAAAGAGAATTACATGGATGTTCCATATAAAAAAATTAAGTATCTATAAGTTTCAAGTACTTGTAAATTCTGAAGTTTAATTTGTACATATTAAAATTTGAGTTGCAAATAAGCTGAAAAAAATTTGAGACGTGAATGTAATATTTTCATTAAAAAAAATAATAATTCCAACACAAATTTTGGTCTTTCTATGTAATTTCTGAGAGTGAAGGAAGAATAAGTTCCAATGTCAATTTCCCATTGACAAGACACAGACTACAAAGCACGAAACAGGGCCTGCTGCGAGTGTTATTGTTTGGGAAGGGAGCAAAGGCAAAGGCAGAGAATGGGAAAGGTAATGCCTTTTCTGGGAATGGTGATAGCAATTCTGAGCCAAACAGGCAGCCAAGTGGTAATTAAAATTGCAATGAATGGCGGCATTGACAAGTACGTCTTGATTTTCTACTCCTATGCTCTCTCCTTCCTCCTCCTCGTTCCCTTCATTTTCCTTTTCCGCAGGTTCGGATTTTTCTTTCCCTTCCTCTCTCTTTCATTTCTTTCAACTTCCTTGTTTGGTTTCAACCATGAGGGCTTTAATCTAACAGTGCTGTTTCTTTTTTCTTCTTTCTCAGGTCTCAGCCTCCGCCTCTTACCTTTCCCTCCATCTGCAGATTCTTCTTGCTTGCCCTGTTTGGGTTCGTACCTTGCTTCATAATGTGCTGCTCTTTTTTTTTTTTTTTTGGGTGGGGGGTGTTTAGGGTGGTTTTCTATTTTTTTTCCCCCAATATGCAGTCATTGTATTTATTATGATTATTAAAAAGTTTAAGGTAATCAAGCTGTTGAGGTGATTGCAAAGCCAAGTTAATTAAGCTTTTGAGGGTTGTCCAGACCTCTAGCTCTAGCCTTCCCCTTTTCTTTCACTATTTTTATCTTATTGTGTTTTATGTTTACTTTAATGATTTGATTTGGGATTGCACTTATTAGTAATTTGCTTTTCTGAAAATTACTCTTAAATTTTAATCTAGGGATTTTGAGAATCACTCTAGACTTACTTCTGTTCTCCAAAATTTTCAAGTTTTTGGGAGGGGATTCATTTTTCTTAAAACCACAATGAGATTTTTGTATAGTGGTTCAGTCCTTTGATTTTATATTTATTTTTAGGCTGTCTTATTTTTTCTTCTTTATGTATATAAACTCTTCTATGCTGAATTGATAAACGGATCAAGAGTCTTTTCACTTTTTTTTTTACATTTTCCTCCACTCCTCCCATCTCAACCACTACTAATAAAATAGTATGTGTGATTGAAATGAGGGAACTGGAAAGAAATGAAAGGAAACAAGTAGAGAGGTTCCTTTTCCATGAATGAACACAATACAGTTCACAGTATTTCCAGCCTCTTTCTCTCTCTCTCTCTCTGTTTTTTTTTTTTCTTTTTAACAGTTTGATTTTTCTGTCTTATTGATTTTTTTTTACTGTATTTTTCTTCTAATGCTTTGATAGAAATAGTTACTTAACAATGCAGATTTTCAGCGACTATACTGGCTTATGTTGGCATAGATTTAAGCTCACCGACTCTGGCCACTGCTCTGTTCAACCTCGTTCCTGCTTTCACTTTTGTGCTTGCTCTCATTTTCAGGTTCTGTTTTTTTTTTTTTTCTTGGGGACTCACCATTGCTTGTGATTTTTCAAAAATAATAGTCCAACTTTCTTGATGTTGGACTTAGAGAGATGGAGTATCACTGAACAATTTTTTTAAGCAAAATTAGAAGGAAATGTTATTTCTTACAGTAAATAGTTAAAAATCATCTATCTATTTTTGGATGACTTTATGTTGATGATGCAACAGTGATTTGATTGATTCCAATGTCAGATTCCATGGATGAAAAATGCTTCTCACGTGGTTTCAAAAGCAAGATGTTAGATTATAGGGCGCCGTTTTTTATTTTTAAAATTATACATTACAAGTGATTCTAAATTTAATTGATTCAATTTTATTTTTTAATTTTAAAATTTTTTTGTTATCATTCTATTATTTTTTTTACCGTTAGTTGATCAGTTAAGCCCTACATTATTTTTATTTTTTATTATAAAATATTTAAGTTAAAAGTTAAAAATTACTTTTTGAATAGAAATTAAGGAACAAAAATGACTCTTAATCTAATAAAAATATTAAAAAATAGTGGAATCTATTAATAACTGATGAATGTTAAGTGTTTTTAATGTTAAAGACTCAAAATGATGACAGAAAAAATATTTAAAATTAAAAAATTAATTTATAATTAAATTTAGAATCATTTATAATCTTTTTATATACTTTAATAACAAAAATGACCCTCACTTCTGTATTATAAGTTTTTGTTAATTGGGAAAAGTTCACCAGCATTCATTCCCACTTGATTTTTTCGTTTTCCTTTTTCTTTTCCTTTTCTTTTCTTTGCTCATTTTTTGGCTGGATGGACCATCGATGTAAATTCACATATAAGTAAGAGGCAATCACCCTGAGGATCCTCAAAAGTAAGATAATTTGTTAATTACACTACAAGTCCTTTCCAGTATGAAATAATTGTAGAAGCCCAAAGGCCCTCTTTGTAAGTGCGATTTTTGTTAAAAAGATAACAATGTCCTGTCATAAATATATGTTCACATGTTTAATACCAGACGTTCATTAATTCACAACAATAAGCTCATACATTTGTAAATAGTTATAAATATGTGAAGCTGTATCTATAAGTATGTAAATATATTGTTGTGAATGTATGAACTTACGCTAGAGAATATATAAACCTATTTATGTGAATATGTGAACCCCTATTTATGAGAACATCTACTAGCAAATGTACAAATATATACTTAAAAGTTAGGGGCATTTTCATCTTTTCAACAAAAATGTTATTTGTAAAGAGAAACCCTGAGCCTAAACAATTATTTCATAATTTAAAAGACATGCAGTGTAATTATTTCACTTTCAAGAATCCTCTAGAAGTAATATGGAGTCGTGGCGGGTGGCAGATGAGAACAAGTTGTGCAATTAAGATTACTTCCAAAAAAAAAGGGAATTAATAATTATGCATGTCTTTATTGCATTGATTGTGGACAACTTTTTTAATAAAAAATTGGTCAAAAAGAAACTTTTTTTCATAAAAATCCAGAGAAAAAATATAAAATTATATAATTTTTTAATAAAAAATATAAAACTTCTTAATTTTGTTTTTCAAAGAAAATATTTAAGCATTTTAACCTTAAAAAATTAGCATATTTAATAAATCAAACTATAAGAGTTGAATTAAAAAAAAAGAACTATCAAGACCTAATTCAAAATTAAAAGAAACTATAAGGTCATATAAATATATTTTTCTTTTATTTTAACAAGTTTTCACATCTCTCAGTAAATAATACAATGATTTTGTGTATTATACACAACCTAATATTGTAATTTGCAGCATGTGAATTGAACTTGTAGTCTCTCAACTTTGAATGGTGGTTCAGGATGGAAGTAGTAGATTTCAGAGAATATAGAAGCCAAGCTAAAGTGTTAGGAACTATAGTATCAATTGGTGGAGCATTTGTTGTGATATTCTACAAAGGCCCACCAATTTTCAAGAATCATTCTGCAGTTTCTACTTATATGTATCTTTTCTCATCAGCACAATCCAACTGGGTCCTGGGAGGCTTTTATTGTGCTACTGATTCTTTCTTGACTTCACTTTGGTACATCTATCAGGTTGGATCATTCACTTTCTTTGAAGCTGTAAGCAATACTAGTGTTGAGTGTCTAAGTACAGAGAGAATTGATTTTTTCCTACTTTTCTTTTGCAAAATGTTTCAGGCACCAGTCATCCAGTAATGGTGGTAGTCTTGTTCCAGATTTTCTTTTCCACAATTATGTCTGCAATATTTGCCTTAATTGTCGTTACAGATCCATCAGCATGGGTATTAAGACTTGATATGGGGTTGGTTTCCATTTTCCACCAGGTAAGTCTTTTTAAGTAAAATAGTTTAGTTGAGTTGAAATCTAAAAACTTATCCTAGCACATAGCACAAGCCTTATGGCATAAAAGAGCATTAAACGAGGTCCTTGTATGAACAATGAGAATTGAAACTACACCGTGAGAAGTGATATGATAGTATGGTGTGTTAAGAGATCAATTTCTCAATAATATGCCTCCACTTAACTCTTGAGATGAGATGGCTATTTGAAAGTTTACTTGATTCATTAGAAAGTATATATGGCGATGAAAAAGAGACGGCCAGTTATAAAGGTACCCAGAAATAAAAAAATTTGTGTTGTTATTGATTCAGAATGCTAATTTGTGGTTCATCACATAGGCAGTGGTTGCAACAGTGATCCGCTTCATTCTGTGCACATGGTGTGTGCAGAAAGCTGGACCTCTGTTTTGTACAATGTTCAAACCTATAGGAATCATCTTCACTGTTATCATGGGTGCACTTTTTCTTGGAGATGATTTTCACCTTGGAAGGTAAAATTTGCACGTGACTCTCTCTCTCTCTCTCTCCTCCCTCTCTCCCTCTTTCTATCTGGATTCATAGAAACTTGAACTCAAAATCTCATACTTAAGTAGCCATAGTCTCTTCCATTAAGATCAAAAGCCTATTAGTGATATCATATATTATCTTGAGAAAAAGCAATTATTGATCTCTATAATTTTATTATATTTTGTTATTGGTTCATGTATTATTTTTTTCATTACTCTAGGTCTCTATAATTTCTTCTGTTTGTAATGTTAGTTCTTTTATTTTTAAATATGCCTTGAAAAATGATGATATAGCACTAATTATATTAAATTAGTTGACGTACAACTAATAACATCATTTCACTCTGCTCATCAAACAGAGGTTACATTTTTATTTCATTTGTTTTCACAAATTTCGAACTTGTCTCTTTTCCTCTACTTTGGTTTCAATTGCAACACCAAAATCTCTCTCTCCGTTTTTTTTTAAACTCTAAAGCCAATGATTATTACTTTTGGTTAATGTTGATATTGGAGCTTATTTTGGCTTCGTATAGTTATTAAGTATGGTCTTCAGTATCTTCTAATTACCCTTCATTTCTTTGTATTTTATAATTGTCCTGTCTCTTTCTTTTTTATTTTAATATGCAGCACAAGATTTAATACCATTAATTACAATATGTCAAAAAATTTAACATCATTAATGCCATCCCTCTAATCATATTAAAAATAGAAGGATTAATATTGCAGATGAAAAAAAAATTATAGGAGTCTAATGTAACAAAAAAGTTAAGAAATAAAAAACAAAACACAATAAAATTATGAAGACTAATAATTATGTTTTTCATACAATCTTCTTAATATACATATGTGTGTGTATTAAGTATTCTTTTAACATGTCTGGTTGTGATTAACTTTACATCTTTTTACTTGAATTGAGTCTAGCGATGCGTGTTTATTCTTTTAAAGATATAACTTTAAATCTTTACATTTTACTTATTTTTTTTATTATTAATTTCTGTAATTTTTTTTAATATTTTAAATTTTTATACTTTTATTTTTTATTATTTTAAATTCTTTCATGAACAAAGTGTAGGGACTTTAAAGGGATATAAAATAATAAAAAATAAAAGTGTATGATGTAAAATACTGAAAAAAAATACAAAAATTAATAATAAAATATGAGTAAAATATAATAATTTAAAGTTATATTTTTTTTATTGTGTTATTGATAGTAAAATATTTTGAATGAATGTATTGCAGTTTGGTGGGAGCAGTTATAATTGTGTTGGGATTTTATGCTGTGATGTGGGGCAAAGGTAAAGAAGAGAGGAAGGTTGAAGCAACGTTTGATAACTTGGACTCATCCTGCCACAGTGCTCCTCTCCTGCAAAACAAGACCTAACTTGCGAAGTACCATATACATATATGTATGGATTTTAGTTATAGATTAAATGAAAGGCAAAATTATCCGTAAGTACTATATATATATATATATATATATCTGGATTTTAATTTTTAAAAAGTCCCATCGAATGTACAAATGTTCTTGAATTGCTGACTTTACTCGTAAATTTGTAATTAATTTTGTGTATATTTACCAAAATACCCTTGTTTGAAAATAAAAAATTATCTACAATGGTACTTGATGTCAGAACTCTAGTGACTAGCGAAAATAGCTCTAGCAATAGACATTGGCTAGCCAATGTGGCGTCACCCGTGCCAATGATGATGAGGAGATAACTTTTTTTTTTTTTAAGGGACGGTATTTTCTATAGATGTACCTTAAAATTAAAGTTCATGACAATATAAGGTTATTTATGTATTTTATGAGATTTTTTAAAAACTAAAATTCATATATAAGACTTCTATATGATTTTCCATTAAAAAAAAGTGATAGAATGTGTTAAAAGTAAAGAATCAGGACTCATCTTCACTTTTCACTTTATTCCCTCCTGTTAATTTTATAGGTCACATTTTATAAAGATAAAGTGATTCACTTTATAAATTATTAAATTAATATTAATATTTTATTTTAAATAAAATACCTAAATTATTCTTAAAAAATATGAGAGAGAGAAATAAAAAAATAATATTATATAGTTTATTTATTTTTTGAGGATTATATTTGTAATTTTATAAAATTTTATTCTTTGTACCTTTGTTATATTGGTATTGATGAGATTAATAAAAATAATTTATAAATAAGATCGGAGAGAGTACACATTATTACACGCACACTCCCCCCTACCTCCCCCTGTGTAACAATTTAGTTTTGGAAGATCTATATATGGAAACACTATGTGAAGAATTGTTCAGAAGACAATTTCGGAGGATCTGCAAACTGCAGATGGTATGAAATTCAAATTCTCTTTTCACAAGAAAATGGACTGTGCTTGGGTGATAAAGACAACTAATTTAATGTACTTTTGAAATCTTGTAATTGATAATTAATTTGGGGATGATGGAATTATATAAAGGGGTGCTCATAGACTGCCAGTGTTAGTTGCAGATCTTAGTGACAGCCTTGATAGCAGCGAGAACTGGGCAAGAACTATTGTTGATTGTTAATGAACTGCGCGAAATATTTGAACCAAAATAATTAATCAAGAAGTTTATTTTTAGGTGGAATCATGTACATAATTATGCAAGTTTGAGCAAATAACATTACTTGTTAATGTAGTATTAGTTGATTTCAGAAGACTCTTTTTTGGTCGCAGTTAAATAACCAGAACTTTTCATGTGATTTCAGTTTTTATAAGTTTTTACTTTTAATGAGATTCACTTGCAATTAAATGTTTTTAAAACCGATTCAAATCAATTATACCGAAACAAATTAACTTAAACCAATTAAACTTTATTATAAATAAGGTTTGATTTTTCTTTTTGGAAGAACGATCAATTTGGTTGAGTTAAGGTTTAAAAATTAAATAAATAATTTCTGTAATTATTTATGATAATTTTTGAAGTTTATAATTACGTGTTTTAATGATAATGTATATTGATTTTAAATAATTAGAAGATGCTAATTAATTGTTAAAAATATATTTATTATGCATTTTATCAAAAAACATTTAAACTTGATTAAAATTTAAACCATTCAAAAATCGAATAAGTCTGATGCCTTGATGAATCATTGATTTGGTTTGACTTTTTTAAATGAAAAAAAAAAAAAACGGAACACATGTGTGAAAATCCTTACTAGCAGCAACTCAAGCAGGACGTTGAGGCAAATAATTATGTTAACCCTGCTTCAAAATGCATAGCAGTCTTCATATACCCCACACTATTTATTCATCTTCAGATTCATTATTTACTAATTAAATTAAAAATCATAGATAAAAACTTCTCTTAGTTCAAGTCATAAGAACATCGAGAGCAGCATAAATAATTCTCAAATATATGCCAATACTCTATATATTCTCAAACTCAAATTGATCAATAGCAAGATCATGACACCAACAAAGAGAAAGGCTGACTGATTGATGAGGCAACAGATAAGTAAAGCACAAGGCTATGGCTATCTTGAAGCACACAAATCAAAACTAAACTGAAACTGTAAAAGAACAGTAGTTATTATACTATTATAAGATATATTGATTGATGGGATCAAATGATACCCCAAGGGGGTTTATTATTAAAACATGCATTCTGATATGAGTATAATAGAAATTCAGCTGCATGTGACTCATTCTCTATGCCTTCTGAATATAATCATCAACCTCTTGAAAGTTTTTGACTGCAAAATCTTTAATGACATGAGGGTCAGGGACCTCCGCACTTGCCTTCTCAAACTCAGATGACCACTTCACAAGGCTTCCTTCTCCCTTTGGTATGACACTGATGTGCCCCTTGAAGTTCTTGAAGTACTTGAGGAGGTCACCATCAATGACACTATATGTCACTGTCTTTTTTGCATCATCAGCTGCATTAATCTTCTCTTTTGATACCTTCACTATTGGAGAACCTACAAAAAATAAATTACTCATGTGGGGATCAACAATTATTGAGAAATAGTTACCACTATCGATAGTTGGGTTGAATGGAAGGGATTCAAGATGATAGGATGGATTTAAAGGAGGGACACTTCAATGGACCTTTGAAAAAGTTAATTTTATTTTATTTTTCATTTGTAAGAAATTTTAAAATAGACTTTGGTCTCCCATGGCCAATCAACTCCTAGATTCAAGATTCCTTAAGCAAAATTGTTGGTTCAAACCTTGTCAATGAAAAACCACGCTAAAAGAGTTACTCAATTTGGATCAAACAATTCTCAAATATGAATTAGTTGATAATGTCAACTATTAGATATTTGTAAAGATGCTATGTATAATCAACAATAGTTGAGTCAAATTAAATGGATCAATGCTATTGAACACGCTTGCCTTTGTGCCTTGGGCATTGAGGCAATGCATCGAACAATCTTATCACCTCTTATGTGTGAAGAGAGTTGATGGGTGTCTTGAATGCGTTTCTCAAGCAAAAGGGAGAGTGCAATCAGGCATGCCTAGTTGCACAATTTTTTATAGTTTTTATTGATAATATATAAAATGGTTGTTACTTTTATCTATGTTTCTTTTTTCATAAAACACAATTTTTCAAAGTATTTATATGTAGGTCAAGTAAATCTACATATGTCATTTTATCTTTGATTTGTTGTCTATACATTATGTATTCACATGGTAGCATCTTGCTTCACACAAACATGTGTCTTTTTAGAGCTTTGTGCCCAAGATATTTTACAAACCTTGCACCGTGGGCGCGCCTTTTGACTTTTAACAACACTAAAATGGATTCAACAATTCTTAAGCAGGGTCATTGACTCTAATCATGCTGATGGAGCTATTCCAAACCTATTTAAGACCTAATAATGCTCAAATACAAAAATTAATTGGTATATATTAACAGCAGATAATTATAGATAAAAAAAATAAGAGGAAAATTGGTAGTAGCTAGAATATGATTCTTTGGGTTTATAATTGAGCAATTGTATGAAGAAATTAAGAATATAATGCACCTTCAGCATAAAGAATCTGGCGTACAGAACCAGGAGCTTTGCCATCGCCCTCAAGAACCTCAATGCTCTTGTAGTCATGTGGAAGTGCTTTGGGGAAGATGGTGGTTGAGTCCCTAATGGTTTCCCAGAACTTGTCTGCTTTAGACTTCACCTCTATTTCAACCTCAAGCTTCCCAATGGTGGCGGCCATGGCTGAAACCCAACACTGATCAATATGTATGGAATATAATATGAGAGAAGAGTCCTTGGGAAGAAGAAGAACAACAAGTGGGTATATATAGAGATGATGAGAGATCTCTGATTGATCATGAGGACAAGCAAGTGTAAAAAGAATCAGGAACTTGCTCAACTACTGCCACTTAATGAAGCTGCCTGATAGAACTTTCATGGAGTTGCATTCACTCACATGACTCTAAATGAATGTTGGGCCCACTCAGTACTGAAAGCTGTGTTGATGTGGATGGGATTTAGCATGGTTATAGACATCATGTTAGATTTGTTGGGGCAATTAAAGTGGTTTGAGTGCATTTAATTTAAGGGAAATTAATTATTCGATGTTTATAATTTTGACTTGATAGCAATTTAATTTTAAAATTTTCACTTGATTACAATTCAATCTCTAAAATTTTAACTCAATTAAAATTCAATCCCTAACCAATAGATGTTAGTCTTAATGAAAAGGATTATATAACTACTTAAACATGGGATTTTGAGATTGTATCCTTATAAATGTAAAAAATGTCTTTGAAAGAGCTACCCTTAATTGAGTCTGATAATGCTTAAATCTGACCTAGTCAGATAGTTATATCATTAAAAAAAACCTAGTCTCAAAACTTGAACTTAGTGTAAATTAGTTCTTATAGTTTTAGTAATTTAAAATATTGGTTCCTAAACTTTAAGAAATAACTTTAGTATTTATAATTTTATTTTCTAAAAAAAAATAAGGACTAATATTTTAAATTATTAAAGCTATAAAAATTGAGCTGTATTGGGTCAAAGTTCAGAGACTGAATTTTAATTAAGTTAAAGATATAATAATTGAGTTGTACTAAATTAAAATTTAATTAATGACTGAGTTTTAAAGGAGTGAAAACTATAAAAATTAAATGATTAATTTTTTTTACATAATTTATCATTGGATCAATTTAAAACCTAATGAAGTAGTGGTTTTTGGGCGAATAGATGTTAAAGTGATGCTATAAATGTAGAACAACAATGGCGGTGATTCTAATGAGTCTGCAAAATTTGTTGGCTGTTAATTAAAACTTTGAATGTAGAAGCCAATGACAGCCAAAGAAGAAAAAAACATGTGGATCTGTGCCTAATCGCAGTTCATTTGTCGTATGATATCATATGTTCAGCATCGAAAGTGATAAATCATAATTTACCTATTGTATTTTTTTAAAATAAAATTAAATCCTAAATTGTAGATATTTCTATTATTATAATTTTTCCACCCA